AAGCTTATCTACATAGCGTAGTCACTTTAAATCAGTCCTATTCTTAAGTCAGACCCTAAGAAAATATCCTTTGAATCACTAAATTTACTTCATTCAATGTTTTGGTGTTCGTGGGAGATGTTTTAGTATAGAATAACTCTTGACCAGGCCTATAAGTGTCAAATACAAGGCGACGCTGGTAGGAGAATTTATTTCTTAGATTGTATTCTAGTGTCACTTGATGGAAGATCCTAGAGTCTGAGACAAAAAGAGATCAAGACAAAGGGAAAAGCAGCTTTTTTCTGACAGAGAAATCCAGTGGCTGTTGAGATGTATAGGTGGAGTGGGTCAGGATTCCTTGAAGGCCAGCTAGCCGTAAATGCATCTAGGGTTTAAGAGGAAGGTGATGAGTGAGCTCCTGAAGTCCAGTGCAATTGCAGCTTCATAATCCATTAAATGGATTTTCGTTGCTGTTGCTTTGTAACTTTTTCTTTTGAGGTAATATGTTGGAAGTTGCAAAAAAATAGTCCAGAAAGGACATTTTACCCTTCACCGAGTTTTCCCCACAGTTACAACTTAGAAAAGTATAATTCAATATCAAAACAAGAAAATGAACATTTATACAATACATTCTCTGTAGTTCTGACATTTTACCAGATGTGTAGATTTGTCTAAGCACCACCTCAGTCCGGATGCAGTTTTCCATCACCACAAAGAGCTCTCCCTTGCGCCGTCTCCGCCTTGATAGCCACCTCCATCCCACTCCTGCCCTGCCCCCCACCATCCTTAGAATCCAGTCTGTTCTCCATCTTATAGTTTGGATTGTTTATTGTGTCACATAGGCTAGTAATGTAACGTGTCTCAAAGGGGAAATATTTTCTGAAGCAGAAACTACCATCTTAAGAGGTTTTGGAAAACCTTGTTTCTTCACATTTTCTAATTACAAATTTCTTCTGAATGGAGGGCTTTGATGGAATTTAATCCGTTTGCTCCCAAGTAAAGTGTCTACAGATACATTCATTCCCCACCACTTCCAACAGAATCTTCTTAAAGGGGCAAAGCATTTTTCCATTAAGTTAATACTGTCGAAATGTTCCAAGAATCGGACGGATTTTTCAAAATCTCTTAGCATTTATTTGAGGAGTCACAAAAGCATTAAAATTTTTTTAATGTAAAAAAATGAAGCCATAATTCACTCATATTTTTGTCTGGGTTCCTTATTTATCATAATAAACTATAATGATGAAGATAGGATCAAATGAGTTGATATGTGCCTGGCACACAATGGATCTGTATATTATTGTTAACTATTATTTTTATTGCTGCTGTTAAGACATCTGTTCTCAGGATGAAGACTTTTTAAGCAAAAAATTAGTAGATTAAATCACACAGAAAAGGTCAAGTGTATTGGCTGCTTGAAACAAACAAACAAAAACAAGGCCCGCATAGGTACATAAAGAAGACTGGGAAAATGTTTGCATAGCTTTTCTTCAGGTGGCGGGTTTATAGTCTATTCACAGCACTCCTCTACCCATTTTCTCTCTGTTTAACAAGCATGTTTAACAGACAGTTACTCTTACAGTTGGGAAATTAAAGTATTAATATATAGAAGGGGAATTAAATATACCCAGTTTTGACAAGACTGTTGTTAAACTGACACTCGGTAGCGATAGTGTGATTTTTGTATTTCAGGAGGGCAGTTTGACAGGCAATCAAAGCCTTGAAAAGCTTCATAATCTTAGACCTAGGACTATTTTTTAAAAAATGATCAAATGTCAGAAAAGGTGCAAGAATATTCATTATTTATATTGTACCCTTACAACAGAAAGATGAAATCTGCCTTATATGCATAGAGCTCTGTAATTGAGTTGAACTCTATCAAACCTTGAGTGGTTTGATACGTTCAGCAGCAATTTGGTAGAGACACTTTGATTATGGCATTAATATAAATTTGGAAATTATATTAATTGGTTAAAGACAAATTCAGTATTTACGGATTTATCCAGGAATTTTGTCCTAAAATATGGCATCTTTATATAGTTGTATAAATATGCTGTAATTTTTAGAAAGAACAAAATTTTTTTAGCAGTTTGACTTTTTTAATATATTATCATATAATGTCATTTTTATGTTAGTATCTCCATGAAATATTTTCTGGCTGTGTAGGGAGATAATGTGAAATGAGCATATATCTAGGCTGAATACCAGACCTTTTTTTTGTTTACTGTGAAGTTGCTCCTGTCGTTTTATTTTTTCCTTCAGAAATTTCAAATTTGAAACTTGTCATCTAATTTTAGGTTTTAAAAAAGTAATTCATATCTTCAGAGCATTTACTGCGTATCTACTGTGTCGAAGTGGTAACTGCCGTCTCTTTCCTCAGCGTTCCTCATCTTAGTTGTTCAGGCCAGAAACTTGAGAACCTTAGCACTTCTGGATGCCTCATCCTCAGCCTACATCGTGGGCTCCAGTCTGTGACCAAGTCCTGGTGCCTCCAAAATACCTTGACTCCACCACTTCTTTCCGTACCCCCTGACCCCGCCCTGGTCGCGGGAACCTTACCTTTTTCTTGGAGTATCGTGGTGTCGTCAGAACCGTTTCCTAACCTCCCCCTGACTCAGGTCGTTCCTTTTTGTTAGTTTCTATTTCATTTAAAAATTTTTGTTGAAGATGTGTATGTGTCATGTTTAAGAAGTCAAATATTTCAGGTATCCAGAGCACATGATAGAGCAGTACCGAAGCCCAGTTGCTCCCACCCTTCCCGCCTCCATCCTGAGCCCCACACATATCTAAGTCTCTGAGCTGTTCTTCCTTCAAGGAATTATGTCCATTTTTCAAATAATATATCTAAATGCCTATTGTTTCTGATTTTCCAACTTTGGATCTGATTTACTGACGACTATAGAAGATGATTTCACCCTCCTATATTCTCTTCCCCTGACATTTGCACAATTCACTTTCTTCTCTTTCCCATATAGTTATGTCATAGTTTCGACATGAATAAGTAATCACAGCTCAACTATTCTTTACAGTTGAGCCATGATTACTTAAATTTTGTTTTCCTTAAGCTAATAACTTTAGCTTTCTCTGTTCTTGTCACTAATTTTTCTGCCAGAAGTGAATGTAGTGAATGTGTCTTCTCAATGTGTTCAAACACTTCAGATGCTGCGTTTCATCTCTCAGAGGCAGCTCTCTCAGAATCTGTCCTCAGAGGTGCTTACTATCTGGACTGTTGCTCATAGCTTTGTCTCAATATCTCCCTTTACTGTTAATCTGGGAATTGCAAATACTTTCTATGTTGGTTTCTCAGTTTCCTGGATCCCATGTTTTTCTTTTTCTTAATTTGCTGGTTTATTTTGATGGGAACACATCCTACTAGCTCTCTGAGAATGGGGACATGGAAGACAAATTCTCTTGAGACTTTCTCGTCTGAAATGACTGTAGCATACTTTCCTACTTACTTGATATTTTTGTTGGATTTAGAATTCTAGGATTTTGAAGGCATCATTTCAGTTGTCTTTTAACTGCTAGTGTTGCTACTGAGATATCTGATACTGTCTGATCTGTTTTTGTTTTAATTGAACAGATTTTATGATCTTTGTCTCCGGTACGTGCCAATTTTAGATGCTTACAACTTGATTTGAGTTTTGTTTTTTTTTTTTTTTAATCCCTTGTAACAGGCACTAGGCAGGTCTTTTCCTTTCCTTTAAGTTCAGTGACATTCTCTTGAATCATTTTTTTTCTTTCTGATAAGTTACTTTTCTCCATTTTTATATGTTCTTTTTTAAAATTCTTTTTCTTATTTGAATGTTGATGCTTACGGGCTGTTCTAATGAACTTAATATTTTTGCTCCTATTGTTTACAAGATTTTGTCTCCTTTATCTCACAATTTTGTATATTTTTAAAATTTCTCTTACATTTTTCATTTCTAAAAGCTCTATATTTTTCTCTGAATGTTTTTTATATCCTTCTGTTTTTGCCTGATGTGAGTAATATTTATTCTCATGTATCTGAGAGTAATAATAATATCGTTTTATCTCTTTATTTTCTCAGTTTTCTTTTGTTCCCAGCCCTAACTCAGTTTCCTGAGTCCTTTTTCTTTTTTCCTGTAGATTCTGTCTCTTTCTGGTGGTCGGTGTTATATCACAACAGAGTTCTTAACTTGTCGTGAACCTTGGACCCTTTTAGCAGACTGAATGAAGCCTGTGGAACTGAACCCCGTTTTTAAATCAGCGGAAATCAGTTCTATTAAAATACTCTCATCAAAATATTTTTTAAACTATTATGCAGTAACATGTGTGCTTTTATTAACATTAAGATCCAGAAATGATGCAATAATTTTAAAGTAGTGATGAGTGTGAATATTTTTGAGATATCTGTACCTACTGTAATGTGAGATGAAAATACATGATGTGTATTAGTGGCAAAGACACAGGTGTTGCTCATTCTTCTGTATCCTGTAGCCTACACTTATAATTGAGAGGAATGTCATTTCAGTCAGAGGTTAGTGTAAAATACAAATTTAATTTTTTTCCATCCAAGGTCTTGAGCCTTTTGAATTCTATTGACAGACCTTGTGGAGGATTAAGAGCCCTTTTATCAGAGGCGTCTTCATCTGTCAGGTTACTACCCGTCAGCTCGAGGAGTGAGGCACTGGAAAGCTGTTTGGAAGCTCTGGGCAATTGAATGGGCTTCACTCTGTGTGCGGGATGCTCAGCTTTCACCATCTGTGGGTCTTTCCTTCCTCTTGGAACTCAGATCTCTTCAGAGAAGAACCCACCAAGCTGCCTGTGGAGTAGAAGTCTAGTTATCTATGTCCTCACAGACAAGTAATCGTGCCCTCTTATATTCTACTAATGAAATCTGCTTTTGTGGCTTAACCGAATGCTTATAATATTAGCTATGTTCTATTGAATAAGATTTCTAGATGGGACACAACTGTCTTTAATGTTTTGAAACCCTTAAAATAACAAAACTGGGCTATTTCTTGAATTTATGTTTAATTTTCGACTTAATTTTCCAGGAGCTTTCAAGTTGTGGATGGAATAAAAAAGAAAAATACAGTTCTGCACCAAATGCTGTTGCTTTCACAAGGAGATTTAATCATGTGAGTTGCTTATAAAATGTTGATATTTAGTTTCTGAAATTCAGTTCCTCAACATATAATTTTTCATTAAGGAATATTTTAACTTTTTATATCAATTCTGGAATATTTTCAACCAATATCTCTTCAAGTATTGTCTCTGCATGATTTCTCTTTTTTCCTTCTGTAATTCCTATTGGTTGGAAATTTGTTAGAATTTGGCATTTTTCTACCTGTCTCTTAACCTGTCATATTTTACATCTGTCCCTTTGTGCTCATTCTATGTGATTTTCTCATCTCTATTTTAGTTCATTCATTTTCTTCAAAAGTGTAATATGTTTCAAATCTGTGTGCTTTTATACTAGTATCAAGTTTTTCTTATTAATTTCTTAAATCATTTTCAATATTTTATAATTTCTGCATTATTATCTGAAATCCTTGGGGTACTAAATCTCTGTTATTTCCATTGATCTTTATTCACAGTAGTTTGTTTTCTTACGCATTTTGTAATTTGGATTGAGTGCTCACACATCCGTTTAAGCTTTATCTGTGGGAATTTCGCTGCTGCCTAGATTGAGGGTCCAGCCCTCCTGGGAGACTCTTCGCTTTCACCTGTACCAAGGGCTGCCACAGACCTAAGACTGCCTGCCCTTTATGTTAAATGTTTAGGTTAGGGATCATCCCTACTTCTCTGTAGTGAAAATTTAAGCTCAGGGCAGGTTACAAATTCTTATGAATGACTTATTTTTCTCATTCATCTATATCGCCTACATCATCTAGAGGTGAATTGTTTCAGTGTACCTTTTCACCAGAATTGTAGCCCTTTGAAGATCTCTTAGAAACAAATGGGGGGGCGGGTAGAGGTGTGAGGCCTTGTATTATATCTTTGAAAGAGTATTAGATTCTAAGCCCCTGTGTTACTAAGGGGAAATCTTCCCTTTCTTTTAACCACCACTTTGCCCTTATTTTCTTCGTTTTTGACCTTTAGGGAAATGTTATTTTCCTTTCAAGTTAGGTATATACTTAACAAATAATACTAAAACAACAGTTATCTTTAACCCAGCGTTTCTAGGGGTTTATAGCAAATAGTGTCCCAGGTTGTTTGGTTCACTGTATTTTCCAAAATGGAAGTGGGTTCAAGTTTTTAAAAATTAGAGTAAACCATTAACAGGGACACAGGGCAAACATGTCTAGTACTGAATTCCACATTTAGGATATATAGCAGTTGCTTTCAAGGTTTTCTGAGGTGGTTAGAATTTATCATCACAATAAGAGTTTTTTCTTTGCCATACAAATGCATCATATTACAATAGCTACAAATTGACTTCGGATTTTAAACACTCATATTATCCTTAAGTAAGCCAAAAAGTTGTCAGAGTCCAGTATGTCACAGTGTACCAAAAGCTTTTATCCTTCTGGATCACAATTGATCCTATAGTAAGCTCCATTACTTAATTACTCCATTACTCTAATCTCATAAGGTCACAGGAGATCTGAAGTAGCAAATTTGAAAGAAGTTAGGTTCACTCTAAAAGGTTCTTCTTTCTAGCTGCATCTTTATTTTTAAAATGAGTCTCTCGTAGACAGCATATAGTTGAGTTTTCCTTTTTTTAATTCAGTCTGACAATCATTGCCTTTCAATGTAGACTTTCAGAGGATGCAAATGTAGTTCAGAGTGTTTCCGAGGAACTCAGGGCCTGCTACAGTATCCTGTAACTCACTCGTTTGCTTTATCCTACATGTGAGTCTCTGAAGAATAATACTAATGTTAATAATACTACTGTGAACAAACACATCTTTTATAGATTTTCTGATTTTTATAATCGTACTACGTATTGTCCGAGCATATAGGCATTGTGTGATGCACTGCCTTTTAACCCTTATTTAGCCTTGGTGCCGTGAATAAGTGTATGTTTAATACTACTGTCCTTCTGTTGATGGTCCTAGTCCTTTTGCTTATCCAAAGTCCATTTGTCTGTAGATTATTCAGGAAGGGCTCATTGGAACAGTAATCTCTGAGTTCTTACATGTTGGCAAGTTTGCCTATCTTATGTATAAAATTTTCTTCTTTTGATTACATTTGATGTATTGTTCCTTTTTTTTGAGAGAGCGTTGCTGTTGAAAAGTCTGTTAATAAGTAAATTTTCGCTTTCTAAAAGATCACTTTCTCTTTTTGTCTCAATGGCCAAGATTTTTTTTTTAAGTCCAGTAATTTTATTAAACTATCTTGGTGGTGGTCATTCTGGGTCAGTACTCTAAGCGGGGTTGGCTTTAGTGAGGACTATTGACCAAGAAGCACCTACACTTAGCCTTTTTCAGCATGGTGGTCTCAGCATAGTTGACTTCTCACATGGTAGTTTAGAGACCCAGAGAGAATGTTATAGCATGAGCTTGTCCTAGAAGTCAGCATTAATTTCTTTAATCCTCTCTTCATCAAAGTACTCACAAGCCTGTCCAGATTCAATCAGAGATGATACATACCCCAATTTTAAATGAGAGAAATGACAATTTGTGGTCGTGTTTTAAAATCACCTAGTCTAAAAATTTGCCTGACATTAAATTTAATTAAGTCAATGATCATGCAGTTTAGATTGTATTTACAGTCGATAATTGCTAAGGTTGTTACAATATCTAAAGTATAACACTAGGTATATTTTAGAAGTCAACTTAATTAGAATCGGAGATATTATCACCATTAGTATCCCAAACAGGGTAACAAACATGAAGATGGCTTTTTAAAAACATATACATTTTATATCTGCATATTCATTTGTAAAATGTATGCATTGTGACAGTTTGTTTATTGATGAAAGTTGTAAGTAAAAGCTGAAATATTTCTCACTAAAAATAGGTGAAAAAATATGAGATAGTGGCATCATCTTTTGCAGTAAGATGTCTTAACTACATCCTGTTTTTAAATTTGTACAAATTTGAGCTGCTGGTACTTTGATTTTATTTTCATAGTACATGAACTAAAATGTTACATACATATAACATTTTATCATATGATAAGCATACTGTTTTCACCAGCATAGAACATTTAGTAATGTTATAGATCTAGTGATGAATCTCATGAATGATTTTTAATGCTTTTTAAAAGAAATCATAAAGATAGGTTTCACTGAACTAGAAAGCACTGTATAATTTTAAAAATATCTTAATTTACTCTTAGAATGACTCGTTTATTTTTCTTTATGATATTTTATTTCATTTTATTTATACCAAGAAAACCATACTTGAAATTCTTCACGCTATGATTCTGCTCAATGTAAATAAATGGCAGTGTGGGATCACACAGCCACAGAAGAACATGCTATAAGTAGCATATTTTATAAGCCTGATCTTAGAGCTTGCACGATTCTCCCAGTGTCTGCCCTATATATGTGAAGTATATGCAACATGTGAAGATTGGTTATGTCCAAGATTGGTGGTGAGTCAAGGGAAAGAAAAAGTATTGTTTTTCAACAGCTACAAGTAGTTCTTCAAGTAGCTCTTGTCATTAATTTGATCCTAGTGAGTAAAGAATCATGCCATTCAACTATATTTAATTTTTATTTGCAGGTGAGCTTTTGGGTTGTTAGAGAGATTCTTCATGCTCAAACGTTAAAAATTAGAGCAGAAGTTTTGAGCCACTATATTAAAACTGCTAAGGTAAGAAAAACTTGTGTTTTTATTTTTGAGTTCAACCATTCAGCAAAGTTTGTGGATATTTGCTTGTAATACTTACCATTTATTGATGCTGGAAAATAAGGCCTAATGATTTAATATGTCAGTTTTTTAAATTGGATGCCTGTTTTCTCTGCCTTTTCCTTTATTCCTCTGTCTTCCTCCCCTTTTATATCTTTTCTCCCTCTGTCAGAGTAGCTGAATTATATGATTAATTTGACTGGATAAGTAAGCAGAGATCAGATTATGGTGAAGTATAATATTTAAATATTGGACTGTTCTACGGGTGATTGGCAAAGCCTTGTCAGCTTAATCAGGAGTGTACATATCGGTTATTTGCTTCTGAACTGGTTGACTCTGCCTACCACGTGGAGCAGTTGTGGTCTGACATTCTGTGGCACTAGGTGGCAGAGCTAGCCTTCTGAAAATCTGGTATTTTACAGAAGTGTCATAAAATTTTTAAAAACATTCTTTGTGGTATACTAGATAAATATTGGGTTTTAGCTAATAAAAATTCATGACTTTTCTCAATTGATTCTGAATTTGCATTATTGTTTTCTGCTGGTTTTTTTTAGTTTTTTATGTACTTGCATGTTCCACTCAAAACCACCAAATTTTGCCCATCAAACCTGCTATTATCCTTCTCATCAAAGAGTCATTTAATTCCAGTTCGAACTTTTAGACTTTGAGTTATTTTTGACAGTGCTTTGCTTTTATCCCGTGCCCTAAATTCATAGTTTTGTTCCCCACCCCCCACCACCCCCATCGCATCACTGTTGCTTAAATCCTTCTATTCTGACTCTACCTTTTGTGTTCAGTTTGTCATAAAATTGGCAGGTCTTTTTCTTCTTTTAGTAGATTGTATTAGGGTTCTCTGGAGACACACAAAAAATATATATATATAATTTATAAACTGATTCAAGGAATTGGCTCATGTGGCAGTGGGAGGCAGGCTGGCACGTCTGAAATCTAAGCAGGCAGCAGCCTGGGAATCCAGGCAGGAGTTGAGGCTGCAGTCAAGAAGCAGAATTTCTTCTTCTCGGCGAAACTTCAGATTTCTTAAGACGTTCAGATTCTCTTAAGACGTTTCAACTGATTAAATGCCGCCCACTTTATCATTGAGTCTAATCTTTTTATTAAAATCAACTGATTGTAAATGTTAACCACATCTATAAAATATTTTCACAGCAACACTTAGATTACTGTTTGATTAAATAAGTAGGTACTATATAGCCAAACTGACACATAAAACAATCACATAGACAAAAAAGAATATTTCTAAAGATGTTTAAAGTATCAAAAGAATAATCCAGTGGTTACCCATGTACCCACTGCCCACTTGGAATTCCCGTACGTGTCTTCATATGCAGCCCCCTGCGCTCCCACTACACAGGGAGCCACTGCCCTAAATTTTATGTTTGCTTTTCTTTTAAAGTTTTACTATGTATATGTGTCCCTGAATAATATGTTGTTGTATATGTTTTGAATTTTTGAATTTGAGTTTTGAGTTTTTGAATAATACTTTTATACTTTCATAACTTTTTTCTTTCTTTTTTTTTTTTTTACTCAGCAGTGTTACCGAATGGCTGGTTTAGGGTATCTTTGTTGTAGTCTGTTGTTTGCATATACCACAAATTATTCACTGTCTTCTGGCTTGGATAGTTTCCCAATTTTTGCTGTTATAAACATTGCTGCTATAAAGCCTACAAGAATTTATATGACTCTCTTGGCGCTTCTGTGAGGATTGAAGCCCTAGAAATATAGAGAGAAAAGACAAAATTCCTTCAAAGAAATGACAATTAGACCAGTAGCTTTCATTGACTCTGATGAGAATGAACATTTTTTTCTGTTTTGGCCATTTATGTTTTCTTTCTTAAAATGTCTGTTCATGATCTTTGAACAACTTTCTGTTATGGTGTTGGTCTTTTATCAATTTTTATAGGAGTTTTTTTTTTTTTTTAATATAACTCTGGTTTCTAGTTCTCTATTATATGCTTTGTATACATTTTCTTATTCGTGGCTTATTTTATCATCACTCTTTTCATTATCTTTTGATAAAGATTTTCTTAGTTTAGAGGTCAAACTTATTTAGTCTTTAACTTTTATTGTCTTATTTAAGAATATCTCATTTAAGAAAGCTTACTATATAGCCTCTGAGAATATCAAAGATGTTGGTACTTGAGTATTTAATCTATCTGGAATAAATTTCATATATAATATGTATGATTATGGATTCCAGTTCATAATCTTCCATTAATAATCATTCTGGCTGCATTTTTTTAAAGATCCTTTTTATAAGCTTTTAAAATTTTATTTTGTCTGGTAGCATCTTTATGTCATCCTTGTTCTTGAAAAATGCTATTTCAGACTTAGAGTTGTTTATTTTTTTAATTTACTCTGCTTTGGATTCTTTCAGTTTCTGCCCCTAGGAATTGGTGTCTCTCACTAATTTGGGAAAATAATCTGCCATTATCTCAAATATTGTTTCTATCCCATTGTTGTTTTTTTCATCATTTCTTCTTCAAATTAAATTAGATAAATGTTGGCCTTTTTTGCTATAGCTTCATGTTTCTTATTTTACATTTTTAAAAAACTTTGACTTCTTTTTGCATTCTAGTTGTCTACATATTTAATCTTTATTTTATTTGAAGCTAGTACCTGGTACTGTTCTCCATTTGTGAATTCCTGTTTCCTTGTGATTTTTCATTTTCCATTTTCTTTTCTTTTTTTTTTTTTTTTACTCGTGTTCATATTTTTTGAAACTTTATGGGAATTCTTCGAGACCTGAGTTAAGGTGGTACACTAGTCTGAGTTCTCCAGAGAAATAGAACCCCTTACCTTTTCGTCGTTCCAATGTTCAAAAAAGGCATTTTTTGCCTTGGAGTCTCTTGATCGTGGGTGAGGACAATTCTAAATGACTGATTTTTAGAGAGGGACATTTTGGGATGTAAACACCTTGTAATATGAAGAAATCTGGGAAATTAGCAATAAATGTCAACTATATCTCTTGATAAACTGGTAGAACCTATTCCTAGGTAGGACTTTTTTGCAGAAGACAAAAGTGAAGTGTAATGTTGGGAATCAGGTGACTTTCTCACCATGAATGAGGAACAAAGGATCCAGGATTCAGGCAGGAGGAAGCAGGAAATTGAGGAGGACTGTAGGAAGCAGGTTTGAACCCTAGCCCTGGAATAATGGGAGTGCTGAGTAGGGAACCAGGGCAGAATCCTGGGCACAGACCATGTCTTAAAACTTGGCTCATAAGACAGAGGCTTAGTAATATTTAAATATAAGGAAGGAGACTGCCTGCCAGAAACTAGCGTGCCCAATCATACCAAGTAAACTTAACACTGAGCCATACCTTTGACTTTTTGAATGTATTACCCAACTAAAGGTAGATTGGTTCCCAGAGCTTGGGGACAATGCCAGGTTAGAACATGAAATTTATGTTGTGAGCCAAAATCAGCTTACTGTAAACATAGCGGGTACTCTAAAAATAAATCTCAGTGAAGTTGATAAGTACTGGCACACTACCAGTTGCCTAGATTTTAGTTCCTGTTAATATAAAGTTTTTTTTTGTATGCATGCTATTAATTTTCACCTCTTATTCCCTTTTTTCTTTAAATCTTCAGAAATTGTATGAGCTGAATAATCTTCATGCACTTATGGCAGTGGTTTCTGGCTTACAGAGTGCCCCAATTTTCAGGTTGACTAAAACATGGGCGGTGAGTAATCTTCTTTAGTTAATGAAAGGTTAGACTTCCTGTTAGAAGTAGAGATGTATTAGTTTCTTTTGTAGTTCTTAGTAAGGTTAAAATTATGATAATAGATAAGATTTTTAAAGTTACTTTGTATTCTTAGAAACCTACATTTTTCTCTCCCAGCTGTTTCATTAGACCTGTCAGGTAATTTTTGGGTAAGTCACAGCTCGGTGCTTGAGTTCTCTTTGGGAAATCATTTTCGTAGAACCTCTTTAAGCACATTTGACAATACAGCATTTCATCTTTACTGGTGGGAAAGTGTAAATGCAAAACAATTTGAAGAAGATCTAAATTATACGTTTCTAAAAAATACACTAATTTAGATTTCCATTATTGTTTAGTCAGTAAAGTCTTGGGTTTTTTCCTTAGGAATAGCAGAAAGTCGGATAGTTAATGTGGAGTTATGCAGTGATACGCATTCTGATATTATTTTAATCATATTTTGTTTTATTACTTTAATAAGGTCGCGGTGTAAGTTTTTGACTTCTGTAAATTTGTGTATTTTCATATTTGAGTGATGCGATACTGGCCTAAAGCTTTCTGGGTATTTTTCATTTATATTTTATATAAGTTAAATTATACATTTAACTAAGTCTTTTCGTATTTAATACTGTTCTTTAATGTTAAAGAGGAAGGACTTTATTATATTTTGTACAGAGGATTGTGTTCTTAGGATTCTGTGATAAAGACATGGCCGACTATAAAGAGCTTCTCTTTTTTAATTACTAAAATATAACTTTTTAATTAGGCTAGTGATGCTTTCACTTTTCATAGTATCTAAAGAAACAGATGTTTCTCATGAAAACCAGGGTAGATGTCTATATTGGAAAAACAGTATGGAAGAACTTGAATCCTCTTTGTATCTTAGAAACACTTGGGTGAAGGGTGTTTCTACTTTAAAATTTATTTTTAATAATGATGGACTTTTTTCTTAAAATTTGAATTTCATGGGGGAATGGAAACGATTATAAATATACAGTTATAAATTCCATCTTTGAAGTTTTATTGAAAAGAATTATACTCTGATTTATATTGTGATTTAAAAATGAGATACGTTTCCCTCAAGTTAATTATTATTTTCCTTGAAGATATTTTTATTGTCTCTCTCAAGTATTTGCAGGGAAAAGCATTTTTTTTATTTAGTAACAGCTCTGTTATTAATCAGTAAGATTATTGGTGTTTACATTAAATTTTAAAATATTCCATACTGTTCCAGGCACTGTCTAATTGCTTGACAAACACCAATTAGTGATATAGACAGTGCCATTCTTATACAGCTAAGATTCTACTGGGAAAAGATAAACTGTAAATTTATGTATAACATAAATAGTGAATGCTCTGAAGAAAAATAAAGCAGAATAAATGGGATAGAAAGGAAAGCAGGGAAATATTTCATGTAATATGTGGTAAGAGCATCTCTGATAAGTGACAGTTGGGCAGAGACGTGGAGGGAGCGAGAGAACCATTCGTGCGGATATCTGGGAGAAGAGAATTCCAGGCAGACGTAATAGCCAATACGAAGGCCCTGATGACGTTCAAAGCGTAGCAGGGCGGTCACTGTGGACAGTGGAGTGGTTGGTAGCAGATGAGTCAAAAGAGAAGTAGCATTGAGTCAGAGAATGGAGATGCTCTTTAGTATAGAGGCAGGGGAGCGGTTCTAGTTTATATATATGAAGTTCGAGTTGTCATAAATATCCATGTAGAACTGTAAGGTCAGGTTTAGGTATACAGGTTTAAAGAGCAGTCGGGGCTACTGATACATTTTTGTGATCAGCGGCGTAAAGGTAGTATTTAAAACATGATGTTGGATGAGATTACCTACGGCATGAACACAGATAAAAAGCCCTGGAACCATCCAAGAATTAGATATTGGAAAAATGAGAACTCAATGAAATAAATACCATGGGTAGAAGTTTTCCACAGTCAAAGATGGTATTTCAAGAAAGAGTGATCACCTGTGCCAGATGCTGCTAATAAGTTGAATAAGGTGAGAACTTTGACGTGACTGTTGGATCTGGCAGTTGGATAGGATTGGTCACCTTGGCAAGGATAAGATAAAATAGGACAGCGAATACAGAGAACGTATTTGAGGAATTTTGCTATAAAGGACTGGGGTGAGGTGCTGCAGAGAAATCTGGCAGTAGCTAGAGGGGAATGTGAGACCAAAAGATTGGTGGAATTTTGTTTTATTTTTGGAGATGAGCTCCATGACAGTGTGTTGTATGCTGGTGGCAGTGATCTAATTGAATGGGGAAAATGGTAAGAGAACAAGGGGTTACTCCTGTGGTACCCTCCACTGGCAAAAGGGAATCCAGTCAGTCCAGTACCCTAGTGGAGCAGGAGTGGTTTAATCATTTTAACAGTAGAGAAGAGGGTGGATGCATTTGGTTGCAGACGTGGCTTCATTGGGAGATTTGATGGGATTCTGTAGAAGTTCTTCTAATGCTTTGTTTTTTAACATATACGAAGCAAGGTCATTAGTCGAGAGTGCTGGGGGGCGGGATGTTGGAAGTTTAAACAAAGAGGAAAGCATGCAAGTCCTCTAGGCGCATGTGAGAGTGAGGTAACCAGGGAAAGGGTAGGTTTGGTCGGCCTCATGAAGGGTCCACTTGAGTCATGTATGCTCCAGCCAGGTCCGGGTGCCCGGCATTAACCTGGAGTAGTGCTGAGAATCATATTGAACCAGTGTTGGAATCTTTTAGGCTTGTTTGTCCCACGGGGGGTCCAGGATAGCACAAGAGATAAAGTGGGTAAATGTAAAAGTTGTTCAGTAATAGATGAGGAATCTAACCCAAGTCAAAGGAGAAAGATGATGAACGGTGGAAAGATAGTATGGCAATTGGACTGGAAATCCTGGTACATGCTTAACGGATTCGGGATGACCAAGGGAGCCGAGGCTGAGAGTGGTGGAAGTTAAGATCATTGAAGGAGGAGAAGTCAAGACACTGAGAAACCCAGTTACTGGGAGTATCATCTGTGTGAAGTTGCAGTCACCAAAAACTGGGTAGTTTTTTCCAGCTACCAAGATCTTCAAGATATAATGGGGAAAATGACTTGTAGCTCTATTAATGATAATAATGTAAGTGTTATAATCTAGTACCCTCTTGTCCAGTATGGTAGCCACTAGCCCCACATTTGGCTATTAAACTTAAATCATTAAAATTAAGTAAAATTTGAAATTTGGTCTCTCAGTTATACTAGCCACATTACAAACACTCAGTAGTCACACGTGGCTAATGGCTATTATGTTGGATGGCACAGACATAAAACATTTCCAGCCTCATATAAAATTTGATTGAACAGCACGGATCCAATAGAAGCTGGAGAATTCTAGAGAGGATAGTGGGATAATAAGCTGGAAGGAATTATGAAGATCAAGGAGCAAGAATTGCACCTGACTCAACTCCAGGCTCATGTTACAGAGTTTGTAAGAAAAGAAAGAGGATGCTTAAAGAAAAGGGTAAAGATGGGGCTTTTGCAGAGGATGGCCCGGGGGTCTCGGAGAGTGCAGTTATAAAGGGTGGGAGGGGGAGGCTATTGGGCTGAGGTAGAAGATAGTCAACATCATGTGGGTTTCATGCCCATTTAGGTTAAAGATTTTTAATAAATGAGAAATTGAGTGAGTTTTTCAATAAAGGGAATGTACCAAAATATCTACAACATCCTATTCGGGGAAGATATTAGGAACATTCTTTTTAACATGAAGGAAAGGAAGCCCATTTTTACTGTTTCTTTTCAACATAGAGATCCTTGTCGGCATGGTCAGAAAAAATTGATTTGAAATAATAGGATTTATCCTCAAAAAAATTTGACACAGAATTATCATTTTATCCAGCAATTCCACTTCTAGATATATATGCAAAAGAATTGAAAGCAGGGACTCAAATGGATATATTTACCCCAGTGTTCATAGCCACATGATTCACAATAGCCAAAAAGTATTAAAAATCCAAGACATCCATGGACAGATGAATGGATGCACATATAAAATGTGGTATAAAACATACAATAGAATATTATTTGACCTTAAAAAAGGATTGACATTCTAGCACATGCCACATCATGGATGAATCTTGAAGACAATATGCTAAATGAAACAAACCAGACACAAAAGGACAAATGCTATGTGATTTTCTTTACATGAGGCCCTGAGAGTAGCCGGATTCATAGAGACAGAAAGCGGAAGGTGGTAGCTCGGGGCTGGGCGGAGAGAGGAACGGGGAGTTACTGTTTAATGGGTAGGAGTTTCAGTTTGGGAAGATGAAGAAGGTTCTGGCTGTGGATGGTGGGGATGGTTGGCTGCCAGTGTCAATGGACTTAATACCACCAAACTGTACACTTAAAAACTGTTAAAGTGGTAAATATTATATACATTTTACCACAATTTAATAAAACCATAGAATTTATTAAGGCGACCGAATATACAAACAATATACAAAATCAGTTGTATTTGAAACGATTAAAAAATATCACTTAAAAGGACACCATCTACAATATCAATGAAAGAAACAAAATAGTAAACAAGAAATGCAATAAAATACGTAATTTTCTGTATGCAGAAAATTAATAAAATTTTACAGAAAGTCATTGAAGAACTAAATAGATGAAACAGTGTCCCTTGTTTATGGATAGGAAAACTAAAAGATACCAGTTCTCTCCAAATGTATATCAAGATTTTATGCAGTTTGAATAAAAATCTCTGTCTGGGGATCTGGATAAGATTGCTTGTAAAATTTACATGGAAATGAAAAGGTTCAGGAATAGCCAAGACATTTCCGAAGAAGGAAATGTGGTTGGGGGTTGGGTACTTGTTCTAACAGATATCAAGATATATTGTACTATATAGTCAGTGTCGAATTACTATAGGTTTAGACATCTCAACCAATGGAATACAGAACTCCAAAGCTGATCCTTGCTTTTATACAACTCTGATATATATAAATCAGCGGAGAAATGAGGGACCGTTTATTTATTAAAGCTGGAAAAGCGGTTGGGTCTCTTACACATAAAAAGTCATTGTCAGATGAATTAAGGACTTAAATGTGAAATGCAAAATTGCAAAGCTTTTACAAGAAGAAAATAGCTGAGTATCTCCCTGGCTTGGCATGAATACATTTCCGGGTTGGGATTGGTGAGGATATTTTAGATAAAATACAAAACAAAAAAGCTCAAACAATGAAAGAAAAGATGGATAAGCTTTGCCACATTAAAGAATTTCTGTTCATCGAAAGATAAAGAAAATTGAAATGAAGCCCCAGAGTGGGGGAAGATATGTGTATAGTTTGTAACTTGTTTCTCCCGATACTGTACCAAAGATTTTGAGTGATTGACTTGGAGGAAAAGACTAGTATACTGTTAGCCCAGCTATGTCACATCACCATATTTTACATGCCCAAATGCCATGCTATGTGGAAGAGAAAGGAGTGGCTGGACTTAAAGGTAGCAGCAGAGATTTGCACCTAATCTTGAAAATGCTAATCAAGTGTGTTGAAACTGAGCCAAGGAAAAGCTGAGAAACCACTGTTTGAGATCATGGAATATCTATCTAAAACATTCAAGCAAAGGACCCCTTTAAAGCTTGTGTTTTAAAGGAAGGAGGAATACAGGTCAGACATCTTTCTGACAGATTATCTGAAGATAATCTATATATTAGAGCCTATGAAAAGTAGATTCCTACATCAGTCCCAGCTCAACTACTTGTAATACTAGAAAGAGGAATGGATTCAGTGTCAGAATAGTCTTTATCTCCAGGACCAACTGAAGACCCTAAAGACCAGGGACCTGCATCTTCGTGAGTGGATGGCTGAGAGTATTAGTATGTTCTGTTCCTTGCTAACCCTGTGATCACCTTTGAATCTCAGTCTCCTCATCTCTAAATTAATCCGCAGACTTTTCTGTTTACCTCATGGGAGAATTAGATGAGAATTTTATAAGTGGAAGTGTTTTGCATGCTATAAAATAACGCTAATATTTTATGATACAAATAAAGTGAAGTATGACGTCATAAGGAAATAGTAACTTCATGTTTAAAGAAAAAATAGTTTTTTCAGAATCTTTGGAATAGTTAAAAAATATTTTCTGAACCTTTTAGTTAATATTGTTTGGGTAACTGATCTTGCTTTGCTTTTATTCCCCTTAATTATCTCTGTTTTTCAAGTGCACTCACAACAGATCTACCCTCAAGCTTCTTAAAACGATTTCAGTTGATTGTTCAACTGTGTGTGATACAGCACTAGTCAAAGGGGTCAAAGAAAAATGCCTTGTCAAAAATCCAAAAATGTGAATCCTTTTACGTAGATATTATAGCCACGGTTAGATTTGTCAAGAAAAGTTTGTCAACAGAAATTGCTTAACCACTTAAAATAGTAAAAATGAAAAATAACGTATTATAATTTACTAAGTAACTTAATGATTTTATGTACATATAAAAGATATTTTATTGTTAATAGATTTGGGTTTATTATCTTAATAGATATGTCTGATTTTGTAATTTATATATTACCAAAATATAGTTAAAGATGATATAACTTTGAAATTAAATTCAAATTTACAATAAATAGAACTTTAAATCTTTGCTATAATAAAATGGGATTTGGAAATAACTTAGGCTTTTCTGTTTGTTTTTTAGTTATTAAGTCGAAAAGACAAAACTACCTTTGAAAAATTAGAATATGTAATGAGTAAAGAAGATAACTACAAAAGACTCAGAGACTATATAAGTAGCTTAAAGATGACACCTTGCATTCCTTATTTAGGTGAGTTACGTCACTGCGTGTTCATTGTGCTTAGTTGTTGCTCTGCCTTAATCAGTAATTTATATAAAATTCAAGATATTTTGAAAGTGTATGTATTCTTTAAAGAAGTTACCGTGTTCGTTAAGCTGAAAAAATTGACTAAAGGAATATATCACCTTATTACCTGGAATATATTTTTATATTAAATTAGCCTTTTACCCTTAAAGTTTTTCATAGACTATCATTTTTTCTTAGAGGTGGACCATATGGTGGAACAATACATTTTAGCTATTTTAGTAATACTTTTAAAGAATGAAACTGTAGTTTGCAATGCATTTTAATATTTAACGTTAGCTAAAACTATAAAAATATTTAACATTAAGAAATTGATTGAGGTTTATTGAATTTATATTGAACACTATGAGTTCATATTTTATATAGTTGCCTGATATTTCAGGGTGAATTATGAAAAGTAGTCTCAATGAATGTTGGTATCGTTTTCCTGGATGAAATACATTATTTAACTGTGGAAATTTAGCTCAGTGCTGAGACACATCTGTATCTTATAAATCATTTGACTAAGGATTTCTCTCTTTACTGTATATTTTACAGTATTTATAAATTCCAAGAATTATTTAAGCAAAGACATTATAAGATAATTTTCAACAAAATATAATGTTTTTTTAGGTGTTCAAATGAATTCTCAAACTGTCCCTTTTAAAATGTATGTGTTAATTTAAATACAGAAAATACATGTTATATACTATATATAACATGTATATGGTGTGTATAATCTTTACTAGCATAAAGTAAAATAAATTGATTTGATCCTCTGTAGAGAGTAATCAAATGATAAACATTTATTTCTTTCTAATATCACTTCTTCTCCCATCCCGACTCTTTTGCATAACTACTCATACTAGATTTTACAATAGCTATTTTTGGAAATAATCGAAAAACCTGTCATTTGTTTCGGGGATGCCACAGTGTCATCTTTGAAGTCTTTACGGTACCAGTGACTTAGAAGACAAAAGTAGGGACAAGGGCAGCTGATACACTCTCATCCGGCTGCTATGGCACATCCGCCTTAGTCTGTTGGAGAAGAGTTGAGTCCTTAGAACGTTGGGGGATGTCCTAGGACTCCTGTGGGGATGGGGAATGTTGTGTACCCTGTGTTGCAGGCAGAGGACCCCTCACCACAATGCAGATGCTGGCCACTACATGTGGTCCGTTTCTCTGATAAACGGCTGAGGGCCATAGTAAGCGTGACTGCACCAGAGAGGCTCATTCTTCACGTGTCCGCTTTCTACCGTAGCCGTGGCTGAGCCCATCCTGGACAGTGGAGTTTGGGGGAGAGGAGGAATAGACGATTTCAGAAATACCATCAGTGTCTTCGTGCTTCATGAGAACATAAACTTTTTATGGCGTAAAGAACATTGATTGGAAATTGGAAACCCTCAGTTCCAAAATGGCTCCACCGTACTAACTTTTCAGGTCATTGTCTTCTTTGACCCTTGTTCTCTTACGTGGAAATAGCGCACACAGGACCAGAATCATGTTCTTCCTAAGGCCGGATGGGCCCCAGTGTTCTCTTCTAATTCACTTATTTTACAATTGAGAAAACCAAGATCCAGGAGGTGGAAGAACTGGCTCCTAGTCCTAAGACCTAGTTACTGACAGATCCTCATTCTGAAGTCCTGATTTAGCATCTTTCCAATTATACCGGCTAAGCTCTCGTTCTAAAATGTACCGATTCTGTGATTTTATTTTTTTCTCATTGAAATGTTTTTTCTCAGATTTCATAATTTTATCTTTTAGAAAAGGAAATCAAGATTATTTTCCACTGAAAATGAGAAAATGGCAAAGCAATGTAAATCCATTTGCTGTGATGTCTAGTTCAGGGGTCTTCGTTTTATGTATTTTTCCACAGTGGACACTTAGGACTCAAAGTTGTACGTGTGCATGTATGTGCATTCTTCACGTGCATACAGAGAAGAGGGGAGGAAACCACTAGCACAGCCAGTTTAGTGGGGTCTGGAAAGGTTTTCTGTTAGAGAATAGATCTGCTCTCTCCCAGCCCTGGTACCTGAAACACCGCAGTTATTTCTGTACGTTAAAGCGAATGTCAAGGTTAATTTGGAGAAACCGTTATCTTTCCCATATCTTCAGTTTGGCCTCCATTGACTCTTTCTCTCTTCGGTTTTCTTTCGTCTGTGTGGCTCATGACCCAGAATCCTCCTTCTCACTGTCACCATGTAGTTTTCCTTCACTTCATACGTAAGCTAATAAAAAGCGTGCTATTCCGCCTTTCTCCTTTTTCTTGCTGTTTTCTGTGCTCAGCATACTGTTGTCTCCCTCTTCACTTGTAAAGATTTTCCCGATAAAGTCACCACTGACTTCCTAGTTGAAACGTTTAATAAGTATTTCTCAAGTCTCATCTTAAATCGTTAGGTTGACACTAGTTATTTCTGCTTGAAGTTCTCACTCCCAGCCCCAGTCTCCCTCAGTTTACCTTGTACATTTCTAGCTTTTATTTTATGGGCTCCTCTTTCTCTGGGTTTCTCTTCTGTCTATTCTTATAAAGTTCGCAGTTCACTTTTTTCCTTAGTCTTTACTCTGTTTGCTGTGATCTCGTTCACACTTTTTCCACGTATCACTTGATGACTCCTAGAGCTAGACTAGACCCGAGCATCCAGCTGTCTGTGTAATTTCTGGGGCCCAGTAACATTTTAGTTACGTAATGATTACATGAGATACCTACAGGGAACTAATTGAGCATGTGCAAAAGTAAATTCATCATCTCTCTGCTTCCTGCAAACCCGACCCCCAACTTATGCCCAGCTTAGTCTACCAGTGATTACAGTGTAGCATTGTCTACACTAGAAACCTGTATTTTTTTTTTAACTGGATTTATCCTTCTTGGGTTTCTGTGGGTTATCCAAGAATTAGAAACCAAAGGAGGGAAAAGGGCAAAGACCTGAAGTTAAAGAATATATACTTTAGCATCTACATAATTATATGCATTGGTAGTCTTCATATAATCATTCATCTCTGTACTAGTTTGTGAAGCATCTGAGATTGCAATATGATTGTGGAACATTTGACATAAACATTTGGTAGACTTGGGAAAGGAAAGTGAAACATTTGTCAGATAAGTTATTGCGACTTGGTTTAGTTTGTTTCCTGTATGAAAATCATTTTAATATAGTGACGGTTTTGTTTTATAGCAAACCTCGAGATTAATTGTATTCCATTGATGAAAACATGCACGCTTTATTAAGGAAATGTGAAACATTTTCAGCTTGCACAATTTGTTGACTGCTTGATTTATTTACTCCATGGGCAGCTGGTTCATTTTTTCATTCCTGATCTTGAAGTGTTTGGAACAATGAAGATTTAACAATACTTTGTTCATATTTTGTTCTAATTTAAGATGAACAGGATCATGGCTTTTAAATTTAACTTCAGAATTCATAAGAAACTAGGCCTAGTACAGCATTTACTCCTGAGGTGCTGTACATTTGATAGGACAGAACCTGCCCGAGACATTTTAAAGATAATATTCATGCAGATTGGCAGCTTCTATTTTACTGTCCTCCTTCTAGTGTACAGAATTTGCATAATGCTGCCCTTTATCCATTATGTCTGCAAAGGCTCTTATGGAAAGAATATATCAACCAGAGGAACCTGTAATGCCTAGAGAGAAGGTAAAGGCTAGTCATCTGTTTCTTTACATGAGATCCGATCCAAACTAATGGTGCTTTTACCCCTAAAAATTATGATTAAAACCAGCCATTCTTTGTGAAGCTTTAAAAAGAAGGTAGGGCGTTATATGCTGACAAAACTTTTATTTTGATACTGCCAGATTTATCTATAACTCAATGTGGATTAAATTCTAAGAAGTAGAAAATGTATTCTTGGCTTTCAACTCATCATCCCTTGAAAAACGGTCTCTTCTGTTCTCATTCAAGGTAAAAATTAGTCAGCCTGGACAATATGGTGAAAAATTCTTAGAATAGGGATACAATTTTTCTGGAGAGGAATAGTTTGGCATATCTCAAGGAAAAATTGTTTTGTATGAGAATTACTCCTTTAAATCTGAAAATCATTAACAGCAATCATTTGTTCTTGTCATTGGAGAACAATCTTAAGGGGCTCATGGAAGAATTTGGCATGGGAAGTTTTGCTTTGCCGGAGAGAAAGAAAAGTAGAACATTGTGCAAAAATAATTTAGTTGTATGAAACGTGATATTCTTTCATGTATATTTTCTAGCCTCATTTCTACTTTATTCATGTAATAATGCAGTAGCTCAACCAGTTCAGGATGTTTTCTGGGAAAGAAGGCATATTTTTAAAACTGTGGAAATAAGTAAATTGTTGCTGTTCTATATATTATTTTCTTTTAAATAGAAACAGAGACTGCCTTGTAAACGCTCCTGCCTTTCTGTAGGACATGAGTACATTGCTTCGATGTTTGTAGGTGTGAGTCCCCACAACTGTAGGGCGAGCTCCCTCCCCACACACTTAAGTTTTAATTTAATATGTTAGATTTTCATAATAGGCCTTTGCGTGTGTGTGTGTGTGTGTGTGTGTGTGTGTGTGTGTAGAAGAGAAAAGCTGTCCTTACAGCTTTCTGTAAATAGTGCCCTCTCCATCCCCCATTCTCTGAAAAACACCATTTTATTTCCATTATGATGTTTGCATTCATCTGTCACCCCCTCAGCAGTAGGTAATCCTTTCTTTGTCATGATTCAAGACTTTACCCTTAGCATCTAGAACTAAAGTAGGCACTTAGTAATATTTGTCGGTTGAATTAATTAAATAATCCCTTTCTATCTCTTCCCATTGTTCCAGTAACTTTGTTTTAAATACAATAAATTTATCTTTGTGATATTTTTATATACATCAACTCCCTACCCACCCCCAGTTCTCTTTTGATACATCAGCTGGCTATCGAATATTTGCTTAGCAGTACGCTTGGTGCTCGGATGTATAGCAGGGAATTAAATGAACTTTGTCCCTGATTTTATGGAACTTCATGTCTCTTCAGTACCAAAGGTTTGATTACTTTGTGAATAATCCTTCCTGTCTCTGTGTCATGGAAGAGGGAGGTACAGGCCTTGTTAGTGATGATCTCATCACAGCTAATGAAATGTTTAAAGCATGCCTAGATTTACAGGACCTTCAGGTTTTATCTGATCCTTTTATTTTTTTCAGTAGTTTTTACCTTTCTTGATCTCTTAGTAGAATATGGTTCTGTAGTATTACATTAGTTATAGGAACTTCTAACCTATGTACAAATATTTTCAAAAACAATAGCTTTTTATTCACATTTCTATTCAGATCATTTCAACAAAATCCAAAGCTTTCTGCAGCTCCGTGGGGACTGAGATTTTTTTTCCTTCTCCTTTGATAGAATTGTACTTGTTAAATGTATAAAAAGTTCTGACACTGATCTCAGAAATGCCTAATGGTTAAAAATTGTCGTTGGCATTTAATATTTGAGTTTTATTGCATTTTCCTTTCTTTGTTTTGATTTGCAAATAATACACCATGGATTACTTTACTTATTCTTCTCATTAGACTACATATTGTATTCTACAACAGCAGTAAAGCATGTTCAGTCATTTTCTTTTGAATCCTGAGAATGAGCTCTAAGTGGCAGCTAGCCTAGTTTTTTCTTGGCCAAAATGACATCCCTATTTTCCATTACCTCATTTATATTCTCTTTTACCCTTTTTTTTTAATGTATTTAAAATTCCTCTAACATTCTTCAATGGTATACGTATTTTCTGAAGTTTATTTTAGATCACTTAAAGACTTGTGATATAAAAGGGCTGGGGGCTGGGGTTGCATTAATTTCTTCCCCATGTTCACAGTTTTTCTTTGTATATCAGGCCTGAGGTCTGGGGGCTGGGGTTGCATTAATTTCTTCCCCATGTTCACAGTTTTTCTTTGTATATCTCTTTAAAAAATGTAAAGTAGCTGTATGGATGTACATTTTAATCACGAACAGAAAGATTCCCCCAGTTCCAACAGCTTTGTCAGTAGTGTTTCCAACTGTTGATATTTCAATAATTTGTAATTTTTCAAGCAAACCTTAACAGGAGGATAATATTAAAAATCTTAATCATTAACATTTATTCATCACTTAGTACCATATCCTCAATACTGTGTACTTTATATAAATTATCTAATTTATATGACAATTTTATAAGGTAAGTGATAATATTATTCAGTTTTATAAGGGAAGAAACTGAGATAAGGGAAGTTAAATTGATTTGCTATAAAGATACACATTATAAGTATTTCGTTTATAGTTCAAAAACATTATGAAATTAGTATTTTGGGAATCTGTACTTAGATCGTAACTTTGAGTTTATTCTTCAGTCTGTCCTATAATTATCCATAGAATTACAACTTAGTAACTATTACCCCCACTGATTAAGTTGAAAACCAAGCTTATTTTTAGATGGCTTTTTTGAGGGTAGGGGAAGAGAGGTCATGGCGTTGTAAGTGGAATCAGGCTTTCCTTTCTTGGTTGTCTTTCACAGACTCTAAAAAAAAAAGAAGACTATAAAAACTTGTTAGAGTGTAATAATCTTTAACTTACTATTAAGATTAAATACATAAAAATAATATCACAGTAGTATAGATTTACAAGTAATTTAAAACATTTTCATGATTGCCAAAGCTTTTACAGGCTTATCGTGTTAATACCAGTAGGAGTCCTAAGAAGAATGATGCTAGGACTCTAGCATTATTACGTAGTGCTAGAATTAGCACTCTCATATGACTCATAGAGTCAAGTGAACATTAGACTGAAATTTTGGTTTTTATACTCTACCAGGCTCAGAGCCTGCGGATAAATTTATTTGTAGATAATCTATGAAATTTCAAAGTGGTATCTGATATTGACATTATCCAAAACCTAAGGTTTTAAAAGTCTGCTTCAGAGATGCAGGTGTTCTACGCGTGGATGGCTTCCTGTTGAGTACAGCAGAATCTAAATCAGTTTTAGCATAAGCTTCATTTCATTTATTAAAAATAACCGAACATAAAGAATCCTTCTGTAAACCAGCTCCAAGGTTATAGCTCATTCTTATTAAAGATGAGCAAACCCGTGTTTATTCCTGGGTAACCTGCAAGGAGCTACGGAACCTTTGCTGCCACACAAGCGACCTGTCTACTCTCTCCCAGGATCCTCATTCGGCTGAAATTGCTGCTCTGGCTGGTCTTTCCTTGGTTTCTATTCTCTTACGGTCCAGTCTCTTAACTACCTGCCATAATAGCGGACATAGTTCTGCTAGATTTGCAAACGAAGGTCATGGGTCAGTGTAATTTTATGTCTGAAAACTTGGCTGTTGTTTCTTTTAACACACTTATTGATCACACCCACGCTGTGCAAGGCGCCATAATAGGTGTTACAGAAAGTACATAGATGAGTAGGAATAACCTGATAGCTAAACTCTACTGAGTCCTTGTGTCAGGCTTTCTAAATATTTTACCACATGAATTACCTTGTTTGATTTTCACAACCACCTGAGCTAGGTACTTTTTTATCCCCATTTCATAGATAAGGAAACTGAGGCAAGAGTATACAAGTTGCCGTAGGTAACCCAGCTAGTGAAGGTAGAGTTGGGCCACGAACCCAAGCAGTTTTGACTTTAGAACGTCAGCTCTCATATAATACTGTGTCTTACTCCTGTTCTGAAGAAACTCAGGAGGAGCAGTTATTCATAAGCTCCGCCGGGAACTCCAGGACAGCACTGTGAGGGGAGGGGGATACGCCCCACGGCCCGGACGGCTTAGCTCTCAGCCCAGCTTTCCAGAGTGTGTGCTCACTTTCACCTCATTCTGTTTTTACTAATATTCCTCTTCTATGAAAATTCTGTAAGACTAGTCTCTGATCGAGTTTTGGATGTTTAAGTGAAATGCTACAGTTGTTAATAAATGAAATGCCCTAGTAAAGTTTTATTCAGGTAAGACTTGATATGACGGTTAGATGCCTAATTCCTCCCAGAAGTCTTAGAGCAGATTTATTTTATTGGTTCTGAGGATGGTAGGAAGAGATTTGAAAACTGTCTTAAATGACCATAGATAAAACAAAGAATGAGGTTCTGACAGTCTCTTAGCCTCTGTCACCAGCAGTTTTATTTTGAGATGTGGCAGAGGGAAAACTGTTGGGTCATGTTGGTGGTCTTGAGTTGTTCAAACGATTGTCTTCAGTTCTGATTGGATTTTCTTTTTGTTTGAGCAAAAGTCCCTTGAGGTGTCTCAAATTTTAGTTCACAAATAAATTAAGGGAAGGTCAGCTCTAAGCAGCGAACATGTTTCTGGAAGGAAGTTGTTTCAAAAGTTTGGTGGTAGAGCTGTTAGTTGCAAAGATGAGTTAAAGACACACTGTAAATGGAATTAGCAATTTGGACTAACGGAACCCCTGTGGATTCTGCACTGAAGCTATTGAATCGCAGCTTTGGGAAAACATCTGACACTTCCTTAAAGTTGTTCTGGTCCCACCCACAGGTGTGCAGTCATGCTTGTAAAGCTACCCGAGCTTTCTGACTTGAATAGCAGACAGATTTTTTCCCCCAAATAGTAAGGGTCAGTAAGTTAGAGAGGAAAGTATTTATAAATAAGCTTAGAGTTATAATTCAAATCTGTGAGACCATTGCCTCACTAAATATTCTGCATTTTTATAATGTCAGTATTTTGCTGATATAACAACATAAAAACGTGTTTTAGGAGATTTTGGTGCTCAGCAAACCATATGAAGATAATACTAAAAAATTATTTATATATTTCCGTTTTTATAAATTGACCATTTAAATATTGTATGCATTTATTTTTTTGTTTTCAAAAACTATGTATTTTAATACTGTGGGTCATTTAATTCTTTGGGGAAATTGGCATAAAGTATGTTATCAAGAATTCACATTTAATTTCATGTGAAAGGAACAAATTCAAATTGAAATAATTTTATTCAATGCAAAATGTATTTTCTATTGGCAAAACTAGAGTTTTCTCTAATTTCCTGTCTATATTTTTATAAATAAAATGTATTAGTTGGCTGAAATCTTAAAATTATTTTTTCATTGAAAGAGCAGTCTCATAAAGTTTTTAAATAAATTGTTAAGGATCTTTGAACATGTATTCAGTTTTGATTTAAAATAAAGCTAAGATTTGTTTTACATGTGGCAAATATTTACATTTTAGAAAACAAACTTTGCCTGTATTTAGTCAATATAATTTTTAAAATAACTAGGATTATGGATAGCAATAATCATCTGCAGTATATTGAAGGAAGATGAAACTTCATAACTCCGCTCTTGTAGTTATGATAAAATTCATTTAAAAAACTATATCCATGGAAATGAATTGTGCAAAATAATACACATTTGACATTTACATTTTTAGGAACTTAAAAATACAGAGTTCTATTTAAGTTGTAGACTGTGCCCCTTCAGTCAATAGGCTTGATCATCATCTGGACTGCCCTCAAGGAGTAGGACCCGCCTCGGTATTCGGCCCAGAAGACACCATCTTGGTACTTGCTTCTGTAATGGCCGCCTCTGTACCAGACTCCGTTGAGGTTGGAGTGCGCACAGGCATTGTACCACCATCCTCCTTTATGAAAGTGGGCGCAGTTCCCTTTGAGGAGAAAACAGAGATAGCAAAGTAAAAGTTTCTTCTAAGTATGGTACTCCATGAACCATCAGAAACTTATTCTACCTTTGGAACAATTGAATTGGAGTTTTTCTTACTGATATCTGTTACCTTTATCTTCATAGTTTAATTTCTTCATTTATTCTCTTACTGTTGCTTAAGTATCAAGTACCTGAAAAGTCACTTAAAATTGCCTTGTTTTTATGTTGCTCTTTGCTTGTATAGGACTTGCTTCTTTTTTTAAGTGACTTAATTTTCTAGGCAGCAGGGTAAGTAAAATATAATCTGTTTTGTGTGTTGGGGGGGAGATTGGAGAAAATGGGAAGAAAAGACAGGGAGTTGCTTAAGAGTAAAGTTTAAGGAAAATTAAATTCTCTATAGCAAAAAAATAATATAAAATAGCACTACTAACAATTAAATGAGTTTTTTAAGTAAGGCATATGTTATGGTCCTATCGCTCTTCCTCTTTCCTCTTTGCCTGGGTGAAATAGGTTAAAATAGCGATCTATGGGCTGCTTGCCAGGGTACAGCTGAACAGAACTGTAAATCAATTTTTTGGGGGGGGCGGGGGGAAGGCGTCTTCATCAGCGCCAAAAACCTGAGTTAGAAAGGCAAAAGTATATGAAAATTAAATTTAAAATTATATTATGTGGATGACCTGATTGATTCTAAAGAGCACATCAACTTCCCCTCTAAGCAAGAGCTTTCCTGACTCTTCTCTACGCGTCTTACTCGTCTTGCTGTCCCTGTACTAAGAACTGGGTGCCTGTTACCCGCACACCCAGTGGCTGGCTTCCTGTACACCCGCAGGTCTTTGTTTGGATGTCGCCATCGCACAGTCACCTCTCTGGACCACCCCATACACAACAGCACCCCTCCCACCCCACTCCCTGCTGCCCAACCAGCAGGTTCCCTTACTCGGTTTTATTTTTCTTAGAGTACTTGTCACCGCCTGTAAGGTCATTTTGTCTCATTCTAGAGAGTAAGCTCCATAAGAGCAGGAACTTTGGTCACTGCTGTGTCTTCAGCCCCTTCAGCGGTGCCTGGCACATGGGAGGTGTTCAGTTTGCATTTGTTTTGAATGTAAGGCAGTTGAGAGTTTTATTTCCAGATGAACGAGGATCTGTTTTGTTTTGCACCATCCGCACCCCCCCCACCCCCCCCCACTTTTTTAGAAAAACAGAACCTTGTTCTTCCCAGAGCTCAAGCTTTAGAGTTGCCTTATAGAAGAGATCCTAAAGCAACTCCTTTCAGCAGATTATATTCTCTTTCAGTCTCAAATGACCTTTCTGGAAAGATTCTTAGTAAGATAAGCCTTAGTAATAGGATCTAGTTCATGCACAGGAAGTGGCGATTCCACAGAGGATGCACGTCGGTCTTTCCTGGCTCACCCGTGTACATGTCTTTGTCTCTGTCCAGCGTGGTGAACTGTTTACCGTTGTGCCACATCATAGAATCCCCTGCGTTCCCCTGGTACGTTCCCAGGCGCAGTCTGTAGAACTCGCTCTCCGGTTCCAGGCGGAAGCTGCTGTACTCCGCATAGACTTTCTTGTCACTCCAGTCTTCCAGTTCAATCAGCAACTTGTAGTTGTCTTGATTGCTAAGCATATAGATATTTTCTAATCCGAGCCAATATTCTCCATCAATGTTTCCAAACCCTTTCTGTCGATAAACAAAGCACAAAAGGACATAAGTAAGTGTAGAGAGAGAAAACTTTTTTATACATAAGTTTTAAACATTTGAGAGTGTAAAGATATTGGCCATTTAAGTGGGAACGTGAATTTCCATTTTAGTAGGTCACCTGATCTTCAAAAGCCCCACATAGTCATTTTGTTTTGTTTTGCTTTCTCTTAATTTGTCAGTAGTATTTATCTGCACAGCTAGTTTCAAACCCTACAAATAAGACAAAGGCAAAATGGAATGAAAATTATTCATAGCCACTAAAAATATTAACTAGTAAACTACCCAAAAGGTAGTTTGAAAAGGGTTCCTGATCTCATACAAAGAGCCTTTTTTCTTTTTCTAAAAGTTTATAAAGTTCCCACCATAGTCAAACAAAAAAGATATCTAACATTATTGTCATTCATTAAAAATGATGCTGCTTTAGAACAAATTATCTTCTTTAGCTCTATTGTAATAAGTAAAATTCATACATAAAAGTAGATAAAATAATAATCTTCAAAGTTCTCCCTTTGAAAAATTATAGATTAACGTTTGAAAAAAATAATTAACTGTCCTATTGCAGTAAGCATATTCCATTGCAGGTATGCAGCAGAATTTAAGTTGAGTAAACCTGATCTTAACACTAAATGCATTTTCAAGGAGGTTGTGCTGCAGGATTTCTTTTTTTCTAGTTTCTTGTTTAGAAATTTACACAATTCTGACACGGATATATTAATGCCTCATTTTTATCTGCCAGTGAAATAATCACCTAAGACTGAGTAATCACGTTACTTCACAATTTTGATTGAAAAATTAACGATCCAGAAAATACACTTTCTCCCATCTGCCATCCTTAAACTGAAGGTGGTATATACTCAAAAAATTAGCATAATGAACATCAACATTAGTAGCAAAGACTAGTTGTTTACCTTTCCAAACCTGGTATTGCATGATTCTGGTCCTGTATGAAAATCTGGGTATACATCAAATTATTCTCAACAGCACCAGTGTTTGGTGTCATCAACTTAAAACATGGAGTGACTATCAGAGGTAGTCATAGAAACAGAGTCATTCGTTAAGCCCTATACTTTATTATTGCTTAAATAAATAAACCCGATGATGGGTACAGATGTGGTCATAAACAGAACAGCAGTTATCTTCTTAGGAAGTGGAATTAGGAGTGGTCTTTGCAAAGAATTAAATACACGTATAAGTCATCCAGACAGAAGGGGTCATTTTATAGCACTTCTTTGGTTTCCTTTTTACATTTTAATTTTGACTTTAAAACTAGAAATGAGAATCATCTTTTCCACAAATGTAGATAATGGGAAACATATGGATAGTTATTTTTTAACTGTGTACCTTATTTATTGCATAGAATGGCTACTCTTGCAAGAGCTGCTTTTGTTCTACCTCTCCCCCAGGTCTGAATCTCTGTTTTACCTTATAATTGTCCCAGTTTCTGAAGAAGTTGACAGAGCCATCCATTCTTTTCTGAATAACAGTCCAGCCCCCAGGATCCAAACTGTTCTCACACCATAACTGCAATGGTCCATTGCTGTTTTCAGGTTTAATCATATAAATCCCACTGATCGAATGACCCGCTTCTTTTGCATGCTGACAGTCTTTGAACGGTCCTGAAATAAAAATATCATTGATTGCCAGGAAACGTGATAGAAAAACAGCCAGATTAAAATAGTTTTTAATCAAGGGTCTTACCTTTCTGTCTTTTTTTACAGATAGCATTTTTTATCTATTGTATACACAATATTATAAAAGTTAAAAACTAAATAAAAGGATTATCCCAGTCCCACTATCCAGAACATTAACTTGTTTCATTTTTGTAAGTTTTTGTCTGTATACATGTTCACTTGGTATAATTTCTAACACACACAGAAAATTGGATTGTCTTTTTAACAAAAAGACATGAGATTATAGTCGTCATTCTAGCACTTACGGTAGCTGTAATTATACATCCTTTGATGTTGACATAATTTATTCTGCTATTATTGGCCATTGAAGTTTCATCTGATTTTACTATTATAAATAATACTGCACAAAGTGTCTTCTCATTGGCTTCATTTTTTCATGTTTTACAAAAATGCTCTGCTGGATGAAGAACATGTAAACACTTTACAGCTCCTCTTAGTACCCAGTTTACAGTTTTCAAAATTTGATTTCAATGGATACACTGGTCCTTTGTGATACTCACTGAAAGCAGCGTACCGTAGTCAAATAAGTTTTAGAATTGCTAAACGTTATATTGCCCTTTTGGAAACTCACAGTGTGCATTCACGTATTAAAGACTGAGAAGCCCTGAAATAAACTAAGTTTCTCAAACTTATAGAATCTTCTAACTTTTTCCTCATCCAATAGTCCATGAGAATACATTTCAGGAATGTTGGCAACATGCCTTTCTAAAGAGTTATATCAATTTATATGACTAATAGTAATTTTCTTTCTTAATCTACACAATGACCTTATGATAGTTTACAGATGTTCTGTACATGAAACAATTAACCAGGCTGTTACATTTGCCCCCATGTTATTTCATACTTTTATTCTCTCCCTATTTTTTAATCCACTAATAAGTTCTTTATATCTTTTAAAGTGACAAAACATTTCATAAGATCATTTGTAGAGTGTCTGGCTCTTGAATGTGTGATGTCCACATTTTTGGATCTTAAAAACACTTTGAACATTCTTCGTTTCACCCCTCTGTGGTGTTCTGATCCTTGTTTTTTTTTTATAAGCATGTAAAAATATTAAGTGATTTTAAAATAAGAATTATCCTAAAAGATCTATTAGAACAAGAAAGTATAGAAATCTCAGTTGTCAATTTTTAAATTTCACTAGAAATTTTTTAATTCTGACATAATTATCTGATAGTAGAGTTTAGTCAAGTAAAGTTCATACAGGTTATTTTCAGTCTGTGCTATAAAGTTAATAGGATTGTTGAAATTTTGAGAAATGTGTTATTTATACTGTGCCAAGTATATACAGGGTCCCTTTTGGGCCTTATTGGGGTAGAATTGATCTCATTAAATAAATAGTTATACAGTTACATCATTCGAAGTTTTTAGGGTCTGTGAACTCTTCCTTCTAGATTGCTCCTTGAGGACAGAGACTGTTTCTGTTTTTCTTCTGACTTCATGTCATCAGTATTTTAACTATTAGTAGTTTGCTGTCAATAATTTTTTGTTAAATAAATGAATCAATTAACTGGCCTTCACATTTTAAATGCAAGGAAATTGAAAACCACACTCAAAAATCAAGAGATAATCAGTTTCTCTAGTCCAGATTTTTATGTGTAATTGATATTTATGTTTCAGAGTTTAAAAAATCATAACAGTGACCATGAGCACTATAGATTACTAGTAAAAAAATTTAGAAACTGCAAAGATTGCTATCTTTCTTGGGTTACATTTATTTTACGTATTGAAATTTTGGGTTCTAGAGTTTCAATTTGATTCTTTTTTTATGGTTTTTATTTCACTTCCGAGATTACCAGTCCTGTTCTCATTGTGAATATATTTTTCTTTAAGCTCTTATAACTACTATAAAAATTCTTGTCTTTTTTATTTCTGGTTTGCTGGGACTTTTTATCATGAATGGGTTTTGGATTTTATCAGAGTCTTTTTATTTATCTACTGAGATGATGATAAGATTTTTCTTTTTTCATTTGTTAATGTGATGAATCCTGTTGATTGTATTTTTAATGTTAAACCAAGCTCGTATTCCTGGAATAACCTCAATTTGATTATGGTGTAGTATCGTTTTTATATATTGCTGGATTTGATTTGCTAAAATTTTGTTAAGAACTTCTGCTTTTATATTCATTAGGATATTGGTTAGTCGGTGAAATCTCATAAATGGGTTCTTAATCTGGGGAGGACTATGATAAAAATAATGTTTGAGCTTATTAGACTGGCCATAAATTAAATCACATTTCATTTAAATTCAGTGCAAATTATTTTTATATTATCTTCAATATAAAACCTCACTTATTGTATTTAAATTACAAAGTATTCACAGCTGTTAACACAATACTTAACGTTAAGTAATCATTATCAGTAACTTATTTCTCTTTTCTCCATTGTTGCTAACCTTGACACAGTTATAGCTTATTTAATAATTTAAGTAGCCTATTTAATAAATATATGCTTATTTAATAATTTTAATGTGGCTAATCAAAGATGAATATACAGTCTTTTATGTCTTAGAGAAATAACGTATTCCTGAAAAATCTGTCCTTCAAAATCATGCACTAAAAATAACAGCTCATGTTAGCTGTTAGCATACTTTGTATTCAGCCCCAGTATCAGTGTTTTGTACCACATTGATATGCTTGGGGAAAATCTCATATAAGTCAGTATGACCTCTTTGTTTTACTGATATTATTCTCCTTTTTCTTTTGCTAGTCACATGAGCTGCTTCACATTATAGAAACATGCACTTTAATCAATTCAGAGAAGGTTAAAGAAGTTGTATGATCACATAGAATGAAATTTATAGAATTTAAATTTCCTATGTGAGAATGAAATGGAAGGAAAAGTGAAGTATGATTTCCAAGACCATTTTGAGATTATTTTGTGTAATGCACAGTAATACATTCATTTGTTTACTCATAGAGCTCCCTGTGGGCAAAAACTGTATATTTTGGTTGTGTATCCACAGTTTAAGCCCACTTAGGCATTCATATATTTGTTGAATTAAATAATTTTGGTAGCCACAGTGGTTTTCTCAGTTCTGCATTATTTTTTTCAGAAATGTCTTTGATGTTTCTGCTACTGGCTAGAAACTGTTTTAGGTTCAAGCGATAAACAACCACAGGGTCAAGTGCGAAGTAGGGGAAGTGGCAAGTATAAAGAGATAATTTCACTATAACGTGACGGGTACTTTGATGCAGACACGTGCTAAGAAATAGATAACCCAGATTTGCAAGGGAGAGATCAGAATCTACCTGTGTCTGAGATGAGTTTCGAAGATTGATGAGGAGCAAGCTCGCGGGGGTAGGGGATCTGATCGAGGCCACATGTGGGTGACGTGCTGAGGCATGGAGACAGGAGAGAGCTGGGTGTCAGAGAGGAGTTGTGCATTTGGTATATCTGAAATGTGAGCAGTGGAGGGTGGTCCTTAGAGCTATAGAGTTGAAACTGATTCCTTTGGTTTAAAAGTGTAGTCATCATGCTTCTTTCCAAAGTTAGCCAGATTTTTCTGAGCTGTCAGTTTTAGAATAGTCACGATATCCGAGGAACATTGCTCTTACTTTAAAACCTATTAGTGTTGTAATTTAATGTAAAGTGGTTTTGTTGCAATACATATAAATATTTCTCTCATTTTGGAAATTTTCTTATTCTATGACTGTCACCTCTGTTATTGCTTATTCCATGAATGTCATCTTTGTAAATATTGACTTTGAACTCATTGGAGTATAGTTTTGACAGTTTACACTTTATATTTAAGTATATATCCACAAGTTGGACTTTATTAGGTTATTTGAATTGTCGTCAAATATTTAGAAACATCAAGGTTTTAAATGTTGACAGAATATTTATAAAATGTTCTTTTTCTGCTATTTAATAGGCTCTTGGATACTTAATATACAAATTGCGGAGAGTTCTGGGTTTTCTAAATCCATCTTTGATTTGATAAGACTTCCATTAATACAAATTTAAAATTATCTTCAACTTTAATTTTTCGACCATCTTTTTTTGTAGTGTGCTTCATGTTGACAGTTTGGATGCCTATTAGACTTAGTTGACATAAAGGCTTAGGAAAATTTAGTTGAAATCTTTCTTCAGTACATGTGGATAAAATTAATAAAAATAGTGCTTATTGCTGCTTTTTTTCCTTCAGTAAATTTAGTATTTGTTTACATTTATTTTCTAAATAAACCATAACCTGTCTTAGCCCAGTGTATACTGTTGATCTTAGCAAAAATATTTTCTCAATAATAATGAGAAAATATTTACTCTTATTTACTCTCTGCTCTAGAACTAGATTATAAACCATTCTTAAGTGTTTTACTACTTTCTCTGTACCTTAAAAAAAACGTCGTTTAATAGGAACTTTAAAATGACTAGTAGAAAAGTACCAGTTTTATTTTTGAGAGGTTAAATTTAACTTGTTAGTTTGCATATTATCAGAAATAAATTAATTGATATATTATTTAGGAATTTGTTCATAGTGGTTCAAAGGATATAGACTGAAAATACCTTCCTTTTAAAATATGAATTTTATTAACCTTTTTTCTTGCACTGAGTAATCTTGCAATAGTCCTCATCTTCCATGACACACAATTGGATTCTCCTCAAGGCGGGAAACTGGAATTCTGTACATTAAATTCGAAGGACCAGTCTCTCTTCCTCAGCTTATTTGATGATTAAAGTTTGTATGGGGCTAACAAACTCCAGTTAATAGATCTGGTTCATAGAAAGAAAAATATTGACCAGTCATGCCACATTGTTTCCCAGTGTGTGTTTTTCATTAAAAAACCATATTTTGAACACAATGGTGGGTTAAAAAAAAAGATTTCATACTTTAAATAGCACCTTTACTGAAACCATCTTTAACATTTATCTGCCCTTTTTCTAAAAACTGATTACTTAGAGGGATAATCTTTCTCTTTTTATTG